CCAGCTGTGGGTGCGGGGGCTGTGGGCGGTGCGGTCCAGCTGTGGGTGCGGGGGCTGTGGGCGGTGCGGTCCAGCTGTGGATGCGGGCGTTGCGGTCCAGCTGTGGGTGCGGGCGGTGTGGGCGGCGCACGGCGGGGAGGAGGGGGCGGAGCGCAGAGGGCGGAGCGCGGGGAAAGGAGGCGGCCGGATTGGAGGGCCCGCCGGAGGAAGCTCCGCCTCCACYCCGCGCGCCGACGCGCCCCATGGGCGGAGCGCGGTGCGCGCCGCTACCGCGAGAGTTTCCGTTGAAGCTGGSGCCGCCATCTTGGAGTTGGGAGAGGCCGCGCGTCCCGTTCCCGTCCCTCTCCGGAGGGTCACGGGCGCGGGGGGGGGGCACGGGAGGCGGGGGAAGCATGGGCGCCCGGCGGTGAGTTCGCGGGGCCCCGCCGGCTCGTCCGTCCCCTCGGAGGCCGCGCCGCGGCGGGCGCGGGGCTGGGCGGGATGGTTCAGTCCTGTTCCGCCTACCGCTGCCGGAACCGATACGACAAAGAGAAGCCCATCTCCTTCCACAAGTGAGCGCGCGCGGGCGCCGGGGCGGGGCCGCGTCGGGGGCGGGGCCAGCGCGGAGCCGTGCGCGCGAGGGGCGCGGGGAGCGGGCGGGGAGAGCGCGCGAGCATGGACGGACGGACAGATGGACATATGGACGCGTGTGTCCGCCACCACTGAGGGTGGGGAGCCTCGCCCGCCCCTCCCGGGACCCTCTGAGCCGCCTTTTTCAGACCCAGAGCGGGCTGAGACCGCCCCCGCTGCGGGGCAGGAGGGGTTTGGCTCCGGCCATGATGCCCGCTTTATAAAGCTTTCCRGAAAAGTTGAAAGTGCCTCTTACTTGCAGGTTTCCTCTTACAAGACCCGAYCTTTGCAAGAAGTGGGAAGCGGCTGTTAAGAGGAAAAACTTCAAGCCGACCAAGTACAGCAGCATTTGCTCAGAACACTTTACCCCCGATTGTTTTAAGAGGGAATGCAATAACAAGCTCCTGAAAGAGAATGCTGTGCCCACAATATTTTGTTACACTGAACCCRGTGAAAAGGTAAACCCAAAGCACTCATGGCTGAGATGCTGGAATGCATCGTGCATGTCACTGGTTGTAGCATGGCAGGGTAGCGAGCAGGGAGAGGATGCAGGCTGGGAAGGATGGAGGCTGGCAGGATGCTGAGTGTGTGTACCTGGGGTCACCAGGAGGGCTGTGGTGACTGAAACAGTTCCAATAGCTGTTCTTGYTTTCTGTGACAGGAGCAGAGGCATGGGCTGTCTGAGGCTTTGGAGTGCAGACTATTGTACAGGCAGACACTGGTTCTGAGCAGTCCASGTGTCCATTTAATTCAGCACATGGATGCTGAATTAAATGGAATGGCAACAAAGTGAGAAGCTATTSCCCTGTAATTAAGTTGTTCCACAGTATTTCCTGTGTATTTGGAGTCTGAAAGAGCCTTCATTAATATTTGCAAATGGCTTTGCTCTCTCACAGCTGATGGTTACTGCTAGCACTGAAGAGATGGTGGATCTTAAACTGTGAAACTGAATTGTCCTCCTAAGAGGGCTCTGTCCTCTGGCTTTGCARAGTTAAGTGAGGGGCAGAACCTTCCCTGCGCCTGCTGTCTGTCCATCCCAAAACCATCTCTGTCTTAGCTTAAGCTTGTGTTCAAAAGCCAGACTGCTCCGTGAAGTCTGATGGTAAAGTCTTCTGTGTTTTTGAGAACCAGGAGAGGGGCAGGGTTGTAAACATGTCCAAAAAAAGGATGGAAGGTGAGAGAGGAGGGGAAAGAGGAGCAGGTCGTCAGGAGAGAATGTGAGGTCTTGAGTACCCATCCAGTGGAAAAGGGACAGGGACTGCTGCCAGCCGTGAAAGGATATGGAAAGTTGCCATTTTGSTGAAGGGAGTTTTTGTTCACATTTGGGGAGAGACACACACACCCCAGTCAGTGGACTCACTACAAATGAACAGTTTTTATATAAAAAAGTGAGTTATTTCTAACAATTTGGGGACTYATCCAGGAGACTTGACCTCTGACATTGCAGAGCAGGACAATGGGAATAGGGGAAGACGTGCCCTGCTGATTTCAGCAGCCCCTGACCTGTTGTCGTGCCCTGTGAGGGCTTCAGGTGAGACTCAGATAGGGGACTCTYGAAGCAAAAAAGCGGGGTAAGGAAGAGAAGTAGAGCTTACATGTGTCAGGTGATAACATCTGTGCACAGGTCCCAGGTAAGAAAAGTGACTGCTAAGTGTTGCCTAGGCAGCTGAGAGGAGTAGCATGGAGTGTGTGTGCTTTGGGGGCAGAATTGCCTGCAAAGCGATTGAAGAGTCCTGACTGTGGTGCCATTATTCCTTGAGGCATATGGCCAGTGAAGGGATGAAGTGAGTCGATTCTGGAAGAAAGGAGTCCTGCAGAGAACTCTGATGGGAAATAGCTAGCAGCAGTAGGATTAAGAGGAGGGAAGAGGAGCTTAAAGCATACCTTCACTCTGAGCCTAGCTCCTGACACTCCTTTGGGGAGGTTGCTCAGGKACTGGGGACAAGAGGAGCTATTTTGTACTCAGGAAGAATCAGGAAAAGATGATCCAGTATKKTRTATTTGAGTGKACTAAAGAACCTRTTAGACCAGACCCATTATATTGGCCAAGATATGTGTCTTGGGAAGATTGGATATGTCAGGATTTAAGTTTGTGTGTGAATGCAAAAGAACCTTGTAATCAGGAAGAGAGGGATTATGCTGTTTGTTGAAAAGGATACTCATCCAYGTTTGTAACTGAAGATTTAAAGGAGATTAGAGGGGAGAGGAAGGGAAAATGGGACCCCTTAGAGGACTTACTCCCTCCCTATCTGCCTCATGGGACTAAATGGTTCAAAAAGCAACGGTTGAGTAGCAAAGAAATTACAATGGTGGAGCTGGTCCTCATGAAATGGGGAATCCACTGGCAGGGCTGGTTCCCATTAAATTGTGGATCCACAGGGCATAGCTGGTCCTTATGAAATGGCTGGTCCACCTGGTGGGGCTGGTTGAAATGAAATGGTAAAATCTGATGATAAGACAGACCAGGTGTCACAGACAACAACAATTACAAGAGTTAGTGCTGGTAAAGAAAGATATTTAAAATTTCCCATTTCCTCCCTTTGAATGCCACCTCAAACGTTAATGCAAATATTTCCATGTTTCCCTTGTGTGAGGTGTCAATGCAGGCAGCTCCATGAAGAGTAACATTTGTGAATGTACCTCCTACTAGTAATAGATTAAAAGAATTTGTAGGGAGATGAGTAGCATACTAGAGAACCCCTTGTGGTTGGTAGAGCAATTGGATCAATTTTTAGGTCAAAATATCTACACTTGGGAAGAAATGCAATCTATTTTGGGAACTTTATTTACTTCAGAGGAAAAGCAAGTGATATGAATTGCAGGGATAAGAATCTGGGAAAGAGAAAATCCACCTGATGTTCAAGGGAGAGTAYGCAGTGAACATAAGTTTCCAGTATTAAGACCTAACAGGGGTCAGAATACAACTGAAGGAAGGAATAATATGTCAGACTATAAAAGATTGGTGATTAGGGAAATAAAAGAAGTGGCACCAAAGGAGCAGAGTTTTGAGAAAGTGTTTGAAAATAAACAGCAGCRGGGTGAGATACCCACTGCCTGGTTAGAGAGGCTCAGAAAGAATACTCAGCAGTACTCAAGAATAGCTCTTGGAAGGAAAATCAGATCAAGAGCTACTGAAAATAAGTTTTGTTACTAAAGCATGGCCAGACATAAAGAAGAAATTGGAGAAAACAGAGGACTGGAGTGATAAGGAATTGAGTRAATTATTGAGGAAAGCTCAGAAAGTTTATGTTAAGAGAGATGATAAGAAACAGAAGAATAAAACTAAGTTAATGGTGGCCACTTTAGACCAAGTAATAAAGTGGCAACCTGGAAATGGGGTTGGGAGGAGGAGTAGCAGAGAGAACCCTTCAGYCTAATGTTAGAAGACCCCAGAGAAGAGGATGGGGGATGACCACTTGGCAGACAGGTCCCAAGAAGTGCTTGTGGAAAGGTGACACATTTCAAAAGGGAATGCCTGGAACTACGGAGGGAGGTTAAAACCTTCCAGATGATGAAAWGAGGAACTTATGCACAGGATTAGAAATGTCAGGGGCTCTATTTTTTGGGATCCATAAAGAGCCCTCAATAAATTCAAAATTAGGACCCCAAGAAGAAGAGTATGTACTTATGGTGGATTTGGGAGCTGGGAGTTCAAGTTTAATTAAAATCCCCTGCAGATGTATGAAAGGGACCAATGAAACCAGAATAATTAGAGTGAAAGGGGAGGGATTCCATGCTCCCATAGTGGAACAAGTAAAAGTTTTGGAAAGTGACAAGGAAATTACATCTATTTTTGTAATAATACCAGAGGTCAGCATCAACTTGTTAGGGRTAGATTTACAAGTGCAATTAGGGGTTGTGGTAATTTCAGAAGAGGATCAAATGGTGGTAAAGCTATTTAAACTGGCCATAGAGGATGAGAAAGAGTTACATCCAGTGGTGTGAGTAGCTGAAGATAATGGAGGAGGACTGAATATCTCACCCTAAAATTAAGGGAAGGGAGCCAGCACATCCCCGTGAAACAGTACCTACATCTTGGGAAGGAAGAAGGAGATTAGAAGTTGTAATTGACCAGCTTTTGAAAGGTCGGTGTTTAGAACCCTGCGTGCCCCCTTATAATGCCCCCCTTTTATCTGTCAGGAAACCGGACAGGATATACAGACTCAAGATTTGAGTCTTGTTCAAGATTTGAAAGAACTGAGTAAACTTGTTGAAGGATGCCATCTGGTAGTCCCTAATCCATATACTTTACTAAGCAAAATTCCCCATGATCATATGTGGTTCAGCGTGATTGATTTAAAAGATGCATTCTGGACCTGTCCAATAGCAGAAAACAGCAGAGATATATTTGCCTTTGAATGGGAAGACCCCGCTACTGGGAGAAAATTGCAACAATTACAATGGACTTCTTTACTATAGGGGATTTACAGAATCTCCAAATCTGTTTGGACAAATTTCAGAACAAGTGCTTGAAGAGTTGAATCTAAATCCAGGGGCAAAGTTGCTACTATATGTGGATGATCTGTTGAAGATAAAGTCCAAGATTTCACAGTTAAGTTATTGAACTTTTTAGGAGAGAAAAGACAAAGAGTGTCTAAGACAAAATTACATTTTGTGGAGAAAGAAGTAAAATACCTTGGGCATCTAATAAGTGAAGGGTCAAGAAGGATAATCCTAGCATTGTCACTATGCACCTTCCTAAAACCAAATGAGAAGTAAGAAAATTCTTAGGTTTGCTCAGGTAGTGCTGCTCATGGATTGAGAATTTTACCCAGCATATAAAATTTTTGTATGAAAAACTACAAGAGGAAGGTGAAAAAGTTGAGTATACTAGCAATCAGCAACACCGGTTTGAGAATCTGAAGAAGAAATCATTTCAGGCTCCTGTTTTAGCACACCCCTCCTTAGAAAAACCTTTTAATTTGTATGTCAACATGAGGAGGGGACAGTTTATGGAGTATTAACCCAAATATGGGGGACGCAGAAGAGACCTGTAGCATACATTTTAAAAACTCAAAGGATTATGATCCTGAAGAAAAGAGAGAGAAGGGTGAAACCAGGAGATACAACTTACCATACTGGGATAAGAGGGGAGTAGAAAGAGGAGTAGGCAGTCAGGAGAGTGTAAGTTCCTGGGTAGCCATCAATGGAAAAGGGGACAGGGGCCRCCCCTGGCCGCTAAAGGGTGTAACAGTTACCATTTTGTTGAAGGGTTTGTGTGTTTGCGCCTGGCGGGAGAGGGACTCGCTCTAGTCAGCTCACTCATTACAGACAAACAGTTTTTGCTTCAAAGACTTTATCCCTACTTAATTGTTTCAAAAAGTAAGCTATTTCTAACACAAGTCGCTTATGAATTCTTCCTTCTTGATGTAATAACTTCAAGACAAGAATGGAAAAGATTTTTAACTTCTTTGAAGGATATAAAATATTTGATCACTCGTCACTTTCCGTAGAAGTGGCAAAGGAGACAGTGGTAGAGTAGGTCTACAGAACAAAAGACTTTAATGGGATGAAGTGCACAGAGAAAAACCCAGGCTTTTCTTGTCCGATTTTTCTCTTATATGCAGAAATCAAAAAGCAATGCATTTGAAAAAAGGAAAGTGGTTAGTAACAGATAAGAGAATGTAAGTAGAACGTATATAAGGAGTAGACAACTTACAGGGAAATATGGCTGTGTTTTTAGTTTGATTACACTTCTTTATCTCTGTGATGCACATTTTCTTCATTGTGTGTAAAATACTTGCAATTTTTTTTTGCAGTTTGAAACGTGAATGGGTGTATAGGGTAGTCTGCAAAAGTACACTTAGTGCAACAGGATTAGTAGTGAGCCGCGTTCTCAATTTTGCTGTTCATACCTGAATCTAAAAAACACAGAAGAGTGAGTGCCTTTTAATTCTGAAGGATTTAGTTCTATTTCTGTTTGTCTCATGGCATTTTTTTTAATAAACTGCCATATGTCTTTGAGTAAAATATAATAACAAATAGTTGTTCTTTTGGAGTTGAATCCACACTGGTGTTGAAATGCAGGTTTTTATCTTTTGCACTATGTCATTTGATCTACTTTCTTTTTCTTAACTTGTGTCTTAAGACAAGAGTTTATTGGCTGGAAGAAGTAATTAGATGTCAYTAGTGATGTCACAGTGATACCAAAGATCTGTTCTCTGTAATATGTTGACAATAGTAATGTGTATATAGAGGTAGCATGTAGCTACCTATCTGTAGCTTCAAACAGAAGTGACTGTTTGAAGTCCATCAGTGATCTGATTTTTGCTTTTGTTTCTAACAAGAATGATTTTCTTTTTGCTGGCTCTGTCTTCTTGTAGGGTCTTTTCATAGAAAAATTTGATAGTGATAGCTGRTAGGGTCAAACTCTTGAGAATATTCATATGTGAATTAGGTAGGCTAACAGCAGCAGTGTTTTATAACTGAGAAATAAGACTGGTAATTGGCTGGTTTTGTACTTTCATGTGATCAATTATTTTTGAGTGCATATTAAACTTTCCTTTAATACCAGGTTCCACTTTCCTTCAATATGAATCACAGGCTGCCTTTTTAGTTACTGTCTGCCAAGTGTTGTAGTTTGTATGAGGGACAGCTAGACACSCAAATATCAAATATTATATTGTTTGCATGTTAAATCAAGGAAATTAACAACATGACCTTCAGATCTCCTGAGCTTGATATTTTGTTGGTAAGGACTGTTGGCTGTTCTTGAAATCAACATTTTCCTGGACCTTATGTTTTTCTTTGTACTAATAGTATTGGCAGCAGATGTGTAGGTAGAAAATTGTTTCAGTGCCTCTTTTACCGAGAATGTTTTAAACTTTATTTTTAATAGGCAATATGCAAGCTCTTTGGTTTCAACAGTGCTTTTTGAATCAACATATGCACAGAAGTATTTCTGCATTATACTGCATTCTTTTGGGGAAGAAAGAATCTGATTCTGTACTCTGGTCTGTACTCAAGTGGTTTGGGATCTGTGTTGTCCTGAGCTGTACAAGTGAACCTATCAAGAGCAATGTGATAAAACCTGCATCTTTAACTGGAAAAAAAAMCCCTGCAGTGGAGTTGAGCCAATTGATATTTTGCTGCTGCCAAGAGAGACCTGTGTATCTCCCCTATCCATTCCATCTGCCAGCTGTGCAGTCCTATTTCTTAACGTGACCTGGCAGTTTGAGCTCACAGTGCACAAAGCCAGTCCTGGGCTGCATCCAAAGCATTATGGCCAACAGAGTGAGGGAGGGGATTGTGCCCCTCTGCTCGGCTCTGSTGAGACCCCACCTGGAACACTGYACCCAGCTCGGGGGMCCAGCACAGGAAGGACAGGGAGTTGTTAGAGTGAATCCAGAGRGGGCCAGGAAGATGACCAGAGGGATATAGCTCCTCTCTTAGACAGGTAGKCTGAAAAAGTTGGGAATGTTCAGCCTGGAGAAGAGAAGGTGGTGTGGAGACCTCATAGCAAATTTCCAGTATCAAAATGGGGCCTACAGGAAGGCTAGAAAGGGACTTTTTTACAAGGGCCAGTAGTGACAGGCCAAGGGGGAACRGCCTTAAAGTGAAAGAGGGCAGATTTAGATTAAATCTTAGATAAAAATTGTCTACTATGAGGGTGGTGAGGCACTGGAGCAAATTGCCCAGAGAAGCTGTGGATGCTCCACCCCTGAAAGTTTTCAAGGTCAGGTTGGACAGGGCCCTGAGCAGCCTGGTCTAGTGAAAGATGGCCCTGCCCATGGTGGATGGGTGTTGACACTGAAAGATCTTTAGGGTCCCTTCCAACCCAAACTGTTTTATAAATCTATGTTTCTCACTTTTTTCACATATCTGGGCAGGTGTAGGTCATACTTTGTGTTGTTTTGACTTTTAATAATGGATGGAAAATTTATATAGTGACAGTGGGAGATCAAATAGCTTTCTGTCATTCTAGCAGCTATGTTTGGGCAAGCATAAATACCAAGAATAAGAGGGCTGCTTTGCTATTGAACAGCTGTTTATTTTTGTTCATGATATCTCTTGAAACCAAACCCTTATGCTGCAGCCCAAAATCAATGACAGAGTCCCTTCCAGATTTGGGAAGACTGGTCTTGCTGTGTCTGCCTCTCTGCTCTGCTAGCCTGTCAGCCTGCTCACTAGTTGAACCTTATTCTACCTCAGCAGAAGTTTGTGTGCTTCTGCTGTGTTTTTGATTAAATTAGCTGATAGGTTCAGTTGCATAGTGGTATRATGTAGCAGAAAGAAGGAGAGACAAAGGGGAATGGTATGGCAGTGATGAGTTACTAGGTCGTTTGAACTCTGTTTTATGGAACTGCAGCTTGTGTTCTTGCTTCTTAGGTAATTGTGGATATATATTTCAAAAACTTAATTTTCAAAAGAAGTATTGATACATCAAAGGCTTGAGTTTCAAAGAGCCCTTATAATGAAGCTGCTTAAAAGTATGTCCAGTTGAGAAGCCAAAGCAGGCGCAGAAATGTTTGCCAGTTTTGAAAATCTTGGCTTTGAAATTTATTTTATTAATTTAAGTCCTGGTTCTTTAGGTTTTTCTGGGGCTGTAGTAAGGAAATTGTGTTGTAAACAATGTTAAACATCAAAACGTACTTTTTTTTCTTGCTCTTTCTAGTCTGAAGAATTTGCAGAACAGCCGGAGGATCCACTGCCACCTCCCCCACTGCCACCGCCACCACCGCCTCCACCACCACCACCACCACCAGCAGCTCCAGTACTACCAGCATCTCCATCAACTCCTTCTTTTCATTTGTCTCAAATAGATGCCAGATTTGTAGATCCAAGTATTGGATTATTGATGCCCCCTCTCCAGACCCCCAGCAATCTTGCTGTTTTTTGTGATCATAACTATACTGTAGAGGATACAGTTCATCAGCGAAAAAGAATTCAACAGCTGGAGGAACAAGTGGAAAAACTGCGGAAGAAGCTGAAGACAGCACAACAGCGATGCCGGCGTCAGGAAAGACAAATTGAAAAACTGAGAGAGATTGTTCAGTTTCAGAAAGACAAAGGCATATTGGGAGGAAAAGGCTATGTGATTCTGCCTAATGACTATTTTGAAGTTGTAGAAGTACCTGCCTAGAAGTCATGAACATCAGTTTTCACTTTGGTAGGCCAAGAAATTTAGTTTAAAAACTAAATTCTTTTTAATTCTGTATGTAAGGCTTCCAAATTCTAAAACAATAATTAAGCAGTCATACAAATAAGATATTTTTTCTTAATTTCTGTTTGATACACTTTTAATATATTGATGATGCAAGCATCTCAGAATTAGAATATGCAATTAATTTACAAAATCTGAATTGCTTCCAGAAGGAAAGATGCAAGATTGAAGACACCTAGAAATTCACTTTTTTTTACAATGTCTGTTTTATGCTTACAGGGGTTGGGAACTGAATCTGGCTGAGAGTGCAGTTTAGGTGGTTGTACACCTAATGCTTTGTCAAGACTTTTAATGCTGGTAATCCCCAGTAAGTRGTTTTCACTGATTTTAGGAAGAACAGAATTAGGTCAGCTAACAACCTCTGCAAGTGCTGCAGAAAGATAGATAAGATGCATATGTGAGTCTGGGAAAACTTCCAACTTCAGTTTGCTATGCATTTGAAGCACTGCAAAAAGTCTAATTCCTGGATCCCTTTGGGTGAGGTATGTAAATGAATCTCTTCTTTTGGAGTAACTATTCACCACATGTGTGTTTTGAGGGTGATGAGGAGAATTCATTAGCATAGCTAACGGGAGCTGTAGAAGCGGATTTTGTTCTGAGGGCACTTAAAAATAGTCCTGAAGTGCAGAGCTGAACTGAACATGTCTATTACCGCACTGTTGACAGGATCAAGAAGACAATGTACTGTTTATGGGGACTGCTTTGCAAAGGAACCCTGGTCATATACAGTCCTCAGTATGTTGTAGGGTTGTCTTCCCATAAACACTGTAACTGGTAGAGTGTTGTCCTTGGTTTTGGAATTAACTCTGATGTTTACCATGTGTAGCTTCAGGAAATGAAATAAGCTTTTTCTTTATCCAGGGAGTCAGACATTTAGGGCTTTGCAGTTTACAGTGGTTTTATTTCTTTCCTTTTTTCACTCCCCAAAAGRTATCCACCAAAGGGCAGATAGGGAACTAGACTTTGGAGTTGCTTGGTGCTAGACTGGTTTATAATATCTCAAATGCTGCTGCCTCTTCTTCAGCCTTATTAAGACTCTTTCTAGTAATGGGTTTAGCATGCCACAGTAGTGCAGGTGTTTGCACTTACTTTCTAATAATTTGTTTAGTCAATGTACTCATTCAGAATGAGAGAAAATGGCTAACTCTGATATAGCCTTCACAGCTGAAATTCCTGGGTATATGAGACATGAGGAAAATTGCTTTTCTCAGTCTATGTCAAATTTGTGTGCAGTGTGGATTCTAGCTCTGATGTTAAACAAGCCTTGTTCATGATGGCTTTAAAAGTTTCCCTTAATATCCTGCTAGCATGACATTTTGAAATGTTTCAAACCAGTCTTGATATTTCTGACCTCACTCATGCCATGTGTCTATTTTCCCTACCATTTCATACTTAAAATGAACAAAAATGCTGATGCTTCCTTTTGTGTACATTTATTATACCTAATTAAAAATTTGAAAAGCAAATTATGTGTTAGATTTTTAATTACTCTCTCTTCTGTTTTCCCAGGATTTTGCCAAAACTGTCTTGAAATTTTGCTCTTTTCTTTTTCCTACTACTTTCCTTGTTTAGATGTTGGGTTTTTCTCACAGTGTTCTCAAATCCTGTTGCTGTTACACTTYGTGCTTAAAATTGGTAAAATTCAAAAGTGACAAGGAAAAGACGTTTAAAAAACTGTTCCTATGCTGTTGGCATGTGTGACGAGATAGCAGATTGTGTCTGTTTTCTCTGCAAAATACCCTCTCTTCTTACTGTTTARGAATTTCAAGTGTGACTTCCAGAGGCACAGGGGATTGCTGGCCACCCACCTCTGCCCCCTGACATTTGGTTGTGTGCTGCTACTACCACCCTGCAGTTCTGGTGCTGGTTGCACTCTCCTGTGAGGCACTTCAGCTCACTAAAGCAGCAGGTTTGGCTTGTAGTGGAGAGACAGTGGAGGGCCAACCATACCACAGCTGATACGAGTTAAAGACGGCCAAAAGCAGGGCACACTGAGAAGCAAATCCTCTACTTTGGATGCAGTGAGCTGTTGGGTTATGTCARCTGCTTCTGAAAATACAAGCATAGCTTCCTTCTCCTGATGTTCAACACCATTTCCCTCCACCTGTGCCAAGGTTCCYTGTTTCCCCCTCACTTATGCTCTGGCTGCTGTGCTTGCTGTGCCCTTCCTTCATGTGTTTTAGCTTCATAACCTTCCAGGAAAGCAAAACTGAGTCTGCGAGATGGCTGATAGATGGCTGGTATGTGGAGTACTTGTGTCTTTAAGCTGTTTGTTTTGGTGAAGGTGATTTAACAGCTGACTCAAATAAATGTTTTTTTCTGTTGAGAAGGTTGTTTATTCCTTGTCTGGACAGTTTCAGAAATAGCTTGCTGAAAAGGGGACTGCTGCCCATTTGTCTTCCTCTCCTATTATCAGGGGATTTTTCTAAGAAGAGATGCAACCCATTGTGACAACAGGCTTCAATTTCTCCTGCAGCAGCTATATTTTTTTTTTTTTTAAAAAGTCTTGTTAACTCCCGATATAGTCACATTAGGGCTAGGTGTGGACTTTGTTAGACCCAGGAGGACTGTCAGTACCACAGGGCTCTGTGGGGAAAAAAGGTTGGCACAAAACCAACTGATTGTCTTTTAGCAATTGACTTTTTTTTGCACTGTACCCTGCTTGTTACTCTTTCACAATCTTTCTTGTTTGGTAACAGTATAGAAAGAGAAGATGAAGTCTCTCTGCTAGGCTCTACTAGCAAGGCTAGGAAAAGAATTCTAGCTAATAAATACAATATGTTCCCCAAATGTGTAAAAATTTTCTCTTGTTTTAGGATCTGTTGCATTCACACAATCATTTGTTAAAGAAGTTATTGTTTGTTTGACTACAGCTTGTACCTGCGCTTGCACCAATTTCATAAACATCTCTGAAAAGATGTGATTGGGAGCTAAAAACAGGKGAGAATTGTAGAATGGCATGTGGTTGTTCAAGTGTGCACGAAGTAGCTGGCATTTGTTTAAAAGCACTTCACTGAAGCTTGTTTTATAAACCAAGTACTTAAAGCAAGTTAGAAAATAGCAAAATTGACAAAAAATATTCCATCCTTAAATTACAGACAGATTTCTTTTCAGAGGCTTTAACAGATAGGAATTGGAATCACTTTTAAAAGAAGTTTTGTCTTACTTATCCCTGTTGCCTCAATTCCCCTTTTGCTGTAGCAGGGTATCTGACCTATGTGTAGTGTTTGCTTTTTTTCTTATAATAACTTTGCAAAGTATTAGATTTCTCTAACTGGAACTGTTCAATTTCAGAGGTATGCTTTATGTGGAAAAAATTAAATAGCTAAACACTTGAATTACTTGTCATTTTGAGGGAGTTCTTTGTCACTGCTCTTTTTACTCCTGTAAACTATGTTTCCAGTTATCATCTTGTCTGTGTTGTCACTAGTGTGATTGTAACAACTGTGGCAGGAAATTGGTGAAATCAAAATGTCCAAGAACTCTTCTGTCTTGCTGACATTTCATTTTTCTTCAGATACACTGAGGATTCAAGGCCTTAATGCCCTGTGTAAATTTTGAAGGAATTCTTTTACAGTTGAAGAAAGTGCAAAGCAAATCCCACTTTGACTATAGGAAGAAGGAAGGGAAAATAATTGCTTGTAAAACTAAAACCTCAACAGTTTATGAACTGTCCTTTCCAAAGGACTTCTCCTGTTACTTGCTTTTCTGGACCTAGGCATTTAGTTCCTAGTTAGTTCCTAGTTGCCCTTTTGTCTTTTTTCTTTCCTGAGAACTGTTTTAGGTTTTAGCCTGTAAGATTATCTATTTCCTGACAGCTTACACTTTCATCAGGTGSCTTTGGCAGGGTGGAAAGGGGTGTTTGGAGCTATAGCCTAATTTTAACAACCAAAACACAATCTGCTGAAGTATGTTGGTGGTTGCAAGTTCAGGTATGTAACTCTGGCTGTTTAAATCCAGCAGTTTATTTACCATAGTCTGCTATGGTAATGATTTATTTATAAATGAGAAAGAGAAAAACAAGACACATGACTCAAAAATATGACAGAATTGCTCTTAGAGTTTTCCCTTTGTGCTTGTTCACTCCTGAAAATTTTAGCTTTGTATAGAGATCTTTGATGGAACTCTGCAGCATTTTATTGCACAAAATTGGGCTGAAGGCCTTAAAGTGTTATATAGGCTGGGAGAGTTTAAAAATGAGAAAAAAAATGTGTTGCGAAGTTGCTGTTTAATCTGCTATGACTAACTTGAAATAGTTGCCAAAGGAAGCCATCTTAAATATTAAAGAAAGCATTTGAATCACTTACCAAGAAGGAAAGGTTCAAGTACCTGTCTTGAGAATAGTTACATTGCATTGTCTGAATTAAATTATTAATTAAATCTGTCCACAGTCTTGCCACTGTTAGTTCATTTAGCATTGTGAATCAGGGTTTTTTTTTAATGTAAAACTAACCATTGATCCTCCTGTAGCTGCCTCCTCCTATTGTACAGGGCAAATAGATTGTGGAGCCGGGGCTCACACATTCCAGGAACTTGTGAAAAGTGATTGTCCCCTGCCTCTTCATTGGTTCCAGTGGTCTTTTAGTTAGGGATGAGCATGGAGAATACCATCAGACCAGTCATTAGAGTGGTTGGTTGCTTTTGGTTTTATTGTTGTGGTGGTGGGCTTTTTGTTGTCGTTTGTTTTGTATGTTTGGTTTAATTTGGTTTGGTTTGGTTGTTTTAAACTCATGGAGGACTTGAGCAAATCAGGCAGGCTTCTCATTTCCTTTCAGGTTTCACTGGATGTGATCAATAAAGATGCAGGGTCTGAGGTTGTACTTGTCATCTATAGAGGAACCAGTGCTTCAGGATTAGAGGCTATGAAAGATGTGTGACTTTTTACTTAGAGCTCTTCAATTCAATGACCTGGGACAGGTAATCTAGGAAAAGGAGGAGGTCTTGCCTCCAGTAATGGTGTCTTCTTTTGTGTTGGGSTCACTTCATAGCCTGCAGCCATAGTTCAATACTCTCTAACCAAGTTCTCAAGTTTTGATTTAGCAGAATGTTACAGCAATATACTTGGATTGCAACACAATCACAATATAGCAATTGCAACATACAGGGGAATCACARTTTAAATATACTGTACCATTACTGGTCTCTAAATGCTGTCATGAGACTGTGTCCTCACAGTTACTGGGAAGAAATATGCAGGTTAAACCCACTAAGCCAGTTGCTGGCTTTGTGAGATGTCTAGTTTCTGTATTTTATATTGGGCTGAGTCACATACAGACTAGCCTCCCACACTAGCCTGGTTAGCTCAGGAAAACATTACTCTTGACTAATTATTTCAGGGAAGGTTGTTTGTTCGATCTTATGACTAAATGATGCAGCAGTATTTCTAAAGCAAACTTTTCTATCCAGTCCCTCTTGTACTGAGTTAATTTCATCTTTCTTTATGACRATTTGTTGCTTGTCTTTACATTCTTCTTTTAGCACATCATTCTTGCCAATCTCCTCTAGGCCTTCCTCCATTCCAGGGGTCAGTCACCATCTCTTTTTAGGAATCTCAAACAGGTCTTTGAGATTCCTTTGAGACAAAAACTAAACTTTTTTGTCTTCAGATGCTTTATAGCCTGGACTTGTGGCTCAGAAGGAAGAAATTTTAAGGGGGGTACTTTTTCTATATTAAGAGGAAGGACTCTTGTTCTCGGCTTAAAAAATCCCAGGATTTCCACCCATACTTACAGGTTTGTGATAAGAACCACAGCTGCTCACTCTGAGAGAAGGAAGCTTTGGATGTCTACTTTCACACCTCGTTCCAAATTTCTTGCCCTTTTTGTTTTTTTATCTTATTTTGTATCGATAGGATCAGACTACTCATTCATCACTTCACTGATGTTGATGCTGTCAGGGAATGCATAGGAATAGTCCCTGCATGTAAGGAAAATCTAAAGGGAGAGTTATTCCCAAGATGATTGTGAGCCACCAAGGTGTAGTCTTACAGCTCTTTCATGAGGCCGTGTGAGTTCAGGCCACAGAAGATGTGGCCTTACTGATAAGCGTTTTCAATTTCTAATTATTTTAAGCTTGAACCTGCAGGCTTGTCTCATAAGTGTCTTGAGCTGATACAGTGCTATATCAAATGATTTTGTGGTGGTGGTTTAATCTGAGGAATTCTAGGAGTTGCTGTCAGAAGAATGTTTGTGGTATTAAATTGAGGGACTGGAAAAGAATTTATTTAACAATAACTTCAAATCCTGTTTTAATGTGTATAGTTTCAATTCTTACCTTAATTTCTTTCTTTCTAAGTTCAGACAGGAAAATATTTTTACTAGTGTTCTTTTTTATTTTATTTTTTTTTTTTGCATGACACGGGACTGAAATTGCTCAGAATTTATTTCTGTGTTCAGAGTGGTGAGGAAATGGGGCAGGTTCTTTAGTACAGTTGCTGCAGCGTGGAAACCTTTGGTTGTATATAATAGGAAATGTCTATTTCCCCAAGTGAGTGTGCATGAAGGTGTTTCAGCTTAAGAAACTCTGCTTGTTTGGGAATTATCTAAAATATAGACACCCACAAACCACAATTATAGGATCAGTGGAGTTACCTTTCTTTGATACTATCATCAGCTGATAAACTCTGATTTCCTCATGGTAAATTTTCATGTAACTGAAAAAAAATATTAATAGATATGTAATAAATTTTACATTTAAATGTTCAAGAAAGCTCATAATAACATTTCTTAACCTAATAGTATCACTATGGTGATAATCATCCTTCAATCAATACTGACATTTACCTCTTGGCCTGTCTACTAAGTTGCTAGAATTTACAAATTTTGCTTCATATAATAGCCACCAGGTAATTGACATATCTATGACTAACTGTAGTCATAAGATGTAATTAAATTAAATAAATATCTGCAAATGGTGCTTTCTTGTGTTGTTCGCAGTGCTGCCTGGGTTCCTACACCAAATAAAAGCACAGCCTCCTTCAACACATTTTACTCCTTCAGTCACAGAARAAATGGGAAGTTTACACATACAGGAAATTACATTGTCCTTGCTTGTTTTTCACAGTATGATCACCACAAAGTCTTGCTGCCTAGTAAATCAGTTGTCTCTGATGAGATATGAGTATAGAAGCAAGACTTGTCTTCCTGCTAGAAGTCTTTTATAATATTGAATCATATATGATTTTCTTGTGTGCCTCTCCTTGTTCCTCTGCAGCATCTCTTCTTTCAAAGTGATTTCTTAACAAAGATTCATCTGCTTTTTTTTTCTGCTAATACTCTGAGAATTTAAACATCTGTGTTTCTCAACACATTTTCTGATCTTTTGTACATGATAGTGAGACCAGCTCAGTTGCGTAGCTGAGAGGTATTTGGAACATGGGGCCTTGGTAACCTTGTATTTTGGCATTGTAAGTTTTTGCTGTTTCATACTACAAAAAGTGCCACAGAGATGGAT